TTTTCGGTAATAAGAAAGTAACTTTAATTTGATTTATTGATTTGAAAATAATATGTGGTTATTAATGTTTTTTTTCTTTTTCAAAGAAGGTCTTTCTGTATTTTTTTCCCAAATCGTGATGTGGAATAAATTGCCATATTGGCCGTTCCGTATTTTTATTTTTCTGAACAAGAAATGTAGGATGGATTGTTGACCGGCCGTCTTGATGCCGTAAATTATAAATAATCTTTTACAATCAACAAACAGAAACTATTGTGAGCTCATTGGGCTGGTTGAGATTGTGAACCACCATCGTCTTCTCTATCTGCTAACGTTTCTAATTCCGAAATCGTATCGAATAAATTTAGAGAAGTAAAAAATTTATTTGTATTTTATGTATTTTATTTCATAAAATTGGATTAATTGCTTCTTCAGATTTTATGACTGTGTGCTCTATGGGCCAGTCAAGAACGTGTGCTCAATGGGCCGTTCTTTTCTATTTCATTTATATCATTTTCTGCCATTGATATTACAATAACCTGTCGCATAGATTAAACAACATCGAAGTATTATGGTTGCGAGAAAGCTACATAGAAGTACAATTTATAATTTCTACTATATGTATAATTCTTATTAAATTTACTTAAATAGCTTTTCTAAAATTCTGAAATAGGGTTGGCCGTGATTATTATATTATATACTGTATTGCTCTCTCACTCTCATATGATGATCTTATTGCAATTTAAATTTACAAGCATAATGCCTGATGAGAGTTTTTTGTCTATTATTCTTTTAAATATATCTTTTTCTCTTAATAATATTTCTTTAGAGAATAATGATCAATTAATAATTTGGCTTATCAATTAATCATTCTAATAAATATAAATTCTTATTTGAATCATTTTTGTTAAACGTGAAATTTATTAATTAATTACTGTATGTTAACTTAATATTTTACAGACGAAATAAAGATTTTATGACCTGAAGTATATCAAAAAAAAATTGTGATACATCATTTAGAATAATTCGAGTTAACTATTAAGGAGGCAATGCAATGAGTTATCTTTTCACATATGCTAAATCAAATATTAAAAATTTTCAAAAGCTTTAGTTGTTTGTGAGTCTGAAAGTACATTTATACATTGTTCATATCTTTAATATAAAATCACACTCAGAGAGTATGATAACATGGACAAAGATCAAGCTGTAATAGAACAAATATTATTTGTTTGCGAATTTGAAGAAACAATATATTTTAAGGTTCGTATCTTCAATAATAAGAACACTCAAAGAATGATTATTGTATTATGTTAAATTTGAAAAAGAAATGTCAAGGCTGTTTAAAAATTGTTGAAAATTTGACCGATACATAAATTATTCAAAAATATATTCTAAACATCTTTGTTGAATTCGATTAATGTATGCTTCGAATTTTATATATATTTAATGAGTACCTTTTTTTTTTTACGTTTAGTCTACCCCAAGTATATTTGCTTAATATCCAGAGTCAGTCGTTAAATCCAACTTATTTTATAGTAATAATTGCTTAGCAAAAGATCTTAAAAACACTATAAAAATAACTTTATTTTATTCAATTTTGCAAAAATTACGAGATAACTTTACACAATACATTAAAATTTAAATTTATCTGTGTCAAAATTTTGATCGCTTTTATCATAAAAATGGGCTGATCGAACTAAAGGTGGAACTATTTGTCCGTTATTATTTCCTTCTCCTTCATTTATTTCACTTATTTTTGGCTCAGAAGCACTTAAAGCATCATCAAATGAATTGAATACTATTAAATTTAGAGAATTTGGTTTATAATAGTTTTAAAGCTCACTTTGATACTTGAGAATAATCAATTTTACCTATATTATTTTGGTTTGAGTATGCGGCTGGAATATTAAATCACTCATAACAGCTCCACAAATTTCACTAAGTTCTTTACTTAAATCTACTAGCTGCAACAAATCTGACGATAAATTTAGGATTAGTAAAGTTATATATAATTTTTGAATTGCACAAAATTTGAAGTTTACCTATTTCATTAGAATTAACTATTCCCTCTAATACAGAATAAGTTTTTTGAATAACTTTATAATAACTTTCAAGTTCTGTTTTATTATCTTCATAACTGTTGGTAAAAAGGTGTAATTTTTCTTTGAGTTCATTGTTTTCAATTTGATAGAAATCCATATCATTTTCTAATCGTATAATTTTGGAAATTAAAGAATTAAATTGAGCTTCTAATTTCTTAAGATTAGAGTGTTTTAATTCATAATTTTCTTTGGAGATCTCATTTCCCTGCCTCGTGCGTAGTAGTAAGATTTACGTTCTTTAATTAATTTTTTAAAATCATTATTTATTTCACTAACATTTACATTGTCTAAACGAAGCTTTGCTTTAAGTCTATTTAGAGTTTTATTATGATGGTTTTTGCGAGGCATTTTTTTTTATCACTGAACCAATGTTATTTGTTACATTAAATATGATTTATGAATCGAATATGAATATAAATTATGAATAGAAATTATTATATAACGTTAATATATAAAGTACTTTTAAAATCTCTATAAATAAAAAAAAATTAGCGTAACTTAATGCCAAATTTGGAACAGTTTAAAAGCCAGAAATGATCTCTTTAAAGTAACCCGTGAATTATTTATATTATCTGTTAAATATAGTTATTTGTTTTCGATTTTGAAGAAACAAAGGTGAATTGGGATCTTTGCTATCAAAATGATCCTCCGAGGCTATGTTGATTTTGTGGATAAAAATTAAATTTGCCAGCCAACTAGTTATCCAATTTGAATGAACATTTTTTTTAATTTGTAGATTCTATCGAGTTTTACAAAATAAAAAAAAGTTTCTTCAAATTGGATTACTTGATAACTGGAAAATTTAATTTTTATTCACAAAATCAACATAGCTTCAGAGGGTCATTTTGATAGCAAAGATCCCAATTGATATTTTAATGTTCATACGACGACGTGTCAAATCCGAAAAGGAAAGGTCTAGGCTGTTAATAAAGATAGAGTTGTCGAAAATTTGATAGGTACATAAATTATTGCAAACATATATATATTTAATTTAATTACATATTAAAAGATAGTACAAATGAAATTCTTTTTAAGCACAAAAATTTATTTTTATTATCAACACAAAAAATTTAACCTAAAATTTCTATGAAAATTTCTATCAGAAATAAACCAAAATTAATAATTCGTTTTATAAAAAAAAAACCTCTAATTAATATTCATTATCGTAACTCCTGTCGTTTCTTGTAACAATCTAATACCAGATACCGGTTTCTAACAATGTAATCCAATTTTCCAAGCGATTATTTTCAATTCGTAAATTATTGTTTTCATCTCGTAAATCATTAAGTTCATTTAATTGATCCCCCATCGCGTTTTGATGTGCATCATAAATTCTTCTAAGAGCATCTTCATACTGCCACTTTCTTTGTTCTAGCTCACTTTTAAGCTTCTCAACTTCATCATTTAAACTAAAAATTTATTAATAAATTAAATTACAAAATATACATTAATAATAAATAACTACCTTTTATTCTTTTTTTTCTCAGCTTCTAAAATATTATATATTTTTTTTTAAACAAAGTCAAATCATTAGATTTCGCTGTGTCGACTATTTTATTCAATTCAGCATAAAATGTTATTTTATTTGAATAAGACACAGTTGCTCCTTCTTGACGAATTTTCCCGCCAATATATCTAATTCGATCAGTAATCTTTTTGGCCAATACATTAGGATTGTACACTCTTGATTGTTTTTTTAAGGCCGCAGGATTGTTTCTTATTTTATTTGCCTTCTTCACACTTGAACGTTTTTTTAAGACCGCAAGATTATTTCTCATCTTCTTCACTGATATTTTTTTTTAAAAAACTACTCAGAATAATGTAATTGCTCAAATATTGGCAATTTTAAATAATCATCACAGTAGTTATATATATCCCGAACGGATATTAGCAATTCTTTAATCGAATCGCCATGCATCCCATGACAGATGCTAGCAACCCAATTCATTAAAAAATCAGGTCGCCGAGTTAACTATCTAAAATAAATCAAAAGTGTGAACAGAAAATTTACAATAAAAAACAATAAATTTAGATACTCTCCTAGTATCAATTACAGTATGTTACATCGTGTCCGGAATATTCATTATTCAAGAAAAGCTTATCCTATTGGTTAAAGAAACAGCTTTAATATTATTTTTTCATCCTTTGTGTGATATAAAGAGGAAGTCACGTACTGCGATCTATTAAAAAAGATTCTTTATAAATAGATATTTTGTATAACATGATTACTTGTGTGTATTCTCGAAAAACCGGTTTATAAATATGCAGATTATGAAAATCATGTAATTACAAAAAATTAGAGTAGTTTTATAGTCAATTGCCGTGACCCTATGGACAGTTCGAATTTTTGATCTTTTTTTAAGTATCGCACGCGATTTTCCACACCAGAAAAATTGTTAGGTCGATATTGGTCTAAAGTGTGAAAAAGCCACGTGATACATAAATATTCATATCAGACATTGGCCAATAAGAAAAGAAACATATATTGAGATCTGTTATAATAATTTTCTTATATATTGAGGACAATATAGTCCCATTCACTTTTTTAAACGGGATCTCAATTAAGTTTGTGCTAAAATAGTTCCTTTTATCAAAACGAATGCCTCCAATAAATAGGTGTAAATCGAGTGGGAATCCTAAATGCCCAATATGTGGTCGTCATTATGGGTAATTAAATTTTTTTAAAAAATATTGTTGAATATAATAACATATAAATTTTATTTATAGATCTAATATATTAGTCCAGAACACCCAACTCAATGTTCTTATGAACGAAAAAAACTATATCATCGTCCTCCTTTAACAGAATGGCGACAAAATAATTTCAAGCAAATTAAAGTATAAATTGCGCTGAAATTGCCTGAAATCGTGAGTTATGAGCAGAAATTGTCTCAAAAATGGGAGGAGGAATCAAATGTTTAAACTGTTTGGTAATATTTCATGCGAAGGAAATACAATGTCCCAAAACTTATTCATATAGTAATCCCAGGCGTTGGAATAATGACCGGGTGGAATACAAATTTAAAAGATTTTTATTTCTATTAATTAAATTTGTAATAATTTGTATTTGATTAATAAAACTTTCTTTTTTATTGTTATAACTACAATATTATTTTTAAAACTAATCTTTAAAAATGATTGAGATATTGATCTATAGTCAAAAATTTTCAATACCTACTAGACTTAACATAAACATAAATTGCTTTAGAAGCATTATTTAAAATAAAACTACATAAAAATAGTAATGCTGAAGATAGATAGCCTTCATCACAATATAAAAAAAAACTTATGTATCCTACATATAAGTAAATTTGAAGTATTAAAGGATATGAAAAAGAATATATAAAGGGGTAAAATTTAGAAATATTAGGTAAATCTTTAATTTTTTGTATAATATAGAAAATACAAAATAAAGGTAAAAATAATAAAGGAGAAAGAATACTTATCCACTGGAACACAAACATATATCCGGTTGATGGGGCATAAATTTTTAAACAAATTTAAATAGTTAATTGAATTGAAAAAATTGGGATAAAAAATATAATTGATCTATATAGTTCATTATAAATAGAGCAAAAAATCGACAGAAAATGTTGAAAAATAGCTAAAATACAAAAAAAATACATGGAGATTGAACATTTATAAAGTGATTTAGGTAATGTTTGGTCATTTAGCATAAAGAATTTCATAGCCATATAGGTCATCAAGATAAACAATAATATAATTTGAATGAATAAATGTCTGATAAAAAAAAGGTTCACCTTTCTAAAGAAACTTAAACTCCAATCATCTTTATCTTTTGGCATCACGAAGGAGTTCAAGATTACGCCAGCAGAAAAGGATAAATAATTACCAAAAGCAATATGTGATACACTGTGAGTTATATTGGTGCATAGAGTTGAAGCTAAAGATGCTTTGATAAATAACGTGAAAATTACCAAGTATTTAATTATATTTTTGATAAATAACGTAAAAATTGCTGAGTATTTAATCATATTTTTAATTATCAAGAGAATTGACAAAAAATTTTTATAGAGTTGGCATCTTAGCGTTAGCGTTAGTGGCTAATTTTCCTGATTATCATTGAAAAAAGATTATCATATTGCAAATACGGTAGACGATTATTTGTACATCTGAGTATCGTATCGCATATAGATAATCGTCTGTACATCTAACAGGTCATTCAGTTACAATAAAGTTACTTCTGGTGTTATGTTTCTATTAAATTACGATTTTGTATTATTTTTTTGTGGGTGTGGACAAAAATTGTTAGAAAATTTTCTCTTCTTTTGAGCAGGAAAAACATCTGAAATGTCTGGATTTTTCTCATATTAATCTCCATCTTTCTATATTTTGCCTTTTCACTTTCAGGTAAGCTTATCCATAATTTAAAAATAACATTTGAAATTTCTTTACTACTTAAGTTTAAAAACCGGGCTGAAAAAATGTCACCCAAGTTTAAATAAAAGTGAAAAAGACAGATAAGTCTGGTAAATGTAAATCTGCCTATAATTTGAATAGATATTAATAAAAAATAACAGTATTAATAAAATAATAGAACTTAAAGAACTTACTGGAAAGTTCATATATGAGTCGATAATTTTTTCTTTTTTTGAATTTCTGTTCACAGAAGAATTTCCTTAATCTGAGCTTCTGAAATATTTTTCAGATAATTTATGGTAGTTATTAGTTGTGTTTTATCAGTGTATGAATAAATTGCAGTCTGCACATTTGATAGAATGTCCATATTGTTATTTTCTAAATAAAATTTCATTCCATCATTTTTTTCTTAATCTCAATAATATAAATTGTAATCTGGGGTTGTGATTGAAAACTTACCAGTATATGTTTTTGTAATATCAGCCCAAAACTGAGGAATCCAACAGTCTCCATTCTCTATTTGTGTCTATAAATCTAATAAAGTATATAAAGCAACTTATATATATACAGTGTGTTAAAAAAGTCTTTGGACGCAATAACTCCGTAACGACTGCGCCGAATCACGTGATTAATGGCCCGTTGAAGAGCCAAAAAATTATAGATTTATTAATAAAAAATTTAATACGGGGATACTATCCACCTGCTTATTATATTCGAACCTACAAATATTATTAATAAACCCACAAAT